TGAATCCCCCCAAAAGGGGTGTGATTCACGGTGTGATCGAGGACAAAAAAGGGCGGGTATCGAGGGTGTGGGGAACTCGTTTTGAATGGCACTTGGGCAAAGTAACAACGATCAGTCTTATAATGATTGCTGAATCCTCATTTCTGAAGAATAAGTATTGCGGATCCCCCCGTCCGGTGCACATTGTTTTCCGATTGAAGTGCCCTTCCCGGGGCTCGCGCCGTTTTTTTGTTGATATATATATATATATATATATATCAACAATCCGATTAAAATTATATAAATATATGGTTAATATATGTATATGTGTATATATACATATACATATACATATACATATACATATACATATACATTTACATATACATATACATATACATATACATATACATATACATATACATATATATTTATGTATATATATGTATATCAGGGACAATCTTGAGGGTCAGTCTGTGTCGTTGGCCCCCGGTTTACAACAACAGCGGCCCCCCCGGATATTCTTCACAAGTTATTCAAGAATCGCGCTCTCGTTTTGGACCTCCTTGCAATTTACCACCGGATCGCGGCTCCCGCTTGATACTTCCTCACAATGTATTGAAGAATCGCTCTCTCGCTTGGGACTTCCTCGCAATTTACCGCCGAATCGCGACTCCCGCCTGATACTTTCTTACAATTTATTCAGATGCTGCTCCTCGACACTCAGGAGTCGCGCTCCCGCTTCATATTGTTTGGCGGTTCAAACAAAATTTACGCTTCAACGACCCGCCCGCTCGACCCGCCCGTCTGGGCCTGCCCGCCCGACCAGCCCGTTAGGGACTGCAGTCGCCGCTCTCTGCGTTTCGCCCGCCTTCGATGCCCTTCGCTGCCCGTAGTGGTTCCGCGGTCGCCTTCGCTCGCTGCCGTTCGTGGCCCCGTTGCTGCCCTCAGTGGCCCCGCCGCTGCCCATTGTGGCCCCGCATTATATGCCCTTCGTGGCCCCCGCTCGCAGTCGCCCGTCGTGGCCCCATACGCATGCCCTTCGCAGCCCCGCTGTCGCCCTTCGTGGCCCCCTCGCTGCCCTTCGTGGCCCCTTTGCTGCCTTCAGTGGCCTCGCTGTCGCCCTGTCTGGCCCCATATACGAATGCCCTTCGTGGCCCCCGCTCGTTCGCGCCCGTCGTGGCCCCACATGCATGCCCTTCGTGGCCCCGCTGTCGCCCTTCGTGGCCCCCTCTCTGCCCTTCGTGGCCCCGTTTCTGCCCTCAGCGGCCCCGTCGCTGCCTTTTGCGGTCCCCTATACGTATGCCCTTCGTGGCCCCCGCTCGTTCGCGCCCGCGGTGGTCCCATACGCATGCGTTTCGTCGCCCCGCTGTCGCCATTCGTGGCCCCCTCGCTGCCCTTCGTGGCCCACTTTCTGCGTTCAGTGGCCCCGCTGTCGCCCTGTCTGGCCCCATATACGAATGCCCTTAGTGGCCCCCGCTCGTTCGCGCCCGTCGTGGCCCCATATGCATGCCCTTCGTGGCCCCGGTGTCGCTCTTCGTGGCCCCCTCTCTGCTCTTCGTGGCCCCGTTTCTGCCCTCAGAGGCCCCGTCGTAGCCGTCTGCGGCCCCCTATACTTCTTTCCTTCGTGGCCCCCGCTCGTTCGCGCCCGCCGTGGCCCGCGCCAACAATCGCCACTCACAGCGCAAATAATCGTCCTCCCTCCTTCTTGCCCCCCCCTCCCTTCCTCCGACCCCTTCGTCCTCATTCTTCCGTGTTATCTGCAACCCTTCGTTTCCAAAGGCTTCACCAACCACACGTGGCAGGGAATGAATCGACCCCCCCCCCAGGTGTACGATCGAAGACGAAGAGGGCGGGTATCCAGGGTTTGGGATATGCATATTGAATGACACGCGAGCAGATAAGAGCGAACAGTCTTAAAATTATTGTTGTTGCTGCTAGTGTTGGTGTTGGTGTTGGTGTTCAATACACATTTCGAAAGAATAACTATGGTTGGTCTACGAAAGGAGGCTCCCGCTCGAGCGTGGCTTGAGCCTAAATGTGGGCCTGTGGAGGCCCAGCTGCGACAACAACGGTTCCCGCTCGAGACTTTACCCCGAGACACCTTGGCCAGAGAGGCCCCCGAGCTCAGGAATGGTGCTCTCGCTCGAGACTTCCTCGCAATTCAACTAAGTAGGCGGAGGCCCTGCCACGACGACAAGGGCTCCTGCTCGATACCTCCTCACGATTTACTCGGAGAGCCCCTGGCCAAGAAGGCCCCCAAACTCAGGAACGGCGCTCTCGCTTGAGACTTTCCCGTGATTCAGGCAAGTTGGTGGAGGCCCGGACACGGCGACAAGGGCTCCCGTTCGATATTTCCCCGTGGGTATTCCGAGAGCCCTTGGCCAGAGAGGCCCTCGAACTCAAGAACGGCGCTCCCGCTCGAGATTTCTTCGCACCACTTGAGTCAATTGCCGACAAGGAGGAAATTCCCCCTGAAAGGGGGTGCAATCGAAGACGAAGTGGGCGGGTATCGAGGGTTGGGGCATACGGAATGCAAGACACGCGTGGCATTAAGACCGAACAGTCGTAAAATGATCGTTGTTGTTGATGGTGTTGTTGTTGTTATTGCTGTTTTTGTTTTTGTTGTCATTGTTAGTGTTCTTGTGATTGTGTTTGTTATTGTTGTGTGTGTCCATGCTCGTGGTCTCATTGCGCATTGTCGCTTCTTTGTTGCGTCTGGTTCGGTTTATCTGCGTGAGCCGTCTGAGCGCGGAAGCGCCTAGAGCGTGCGCGTTGCGAACTGAGGTGTTGAGGGTGAGCGCCGCCGGAAGGTGCACGCATGTGCACAGCACGCGTTCGGAGTTGACAGGTGATGTGGTTTCCGTGACGATCGAGCAATTTATTGCATCACAGGTGCCGCGCGAGACGATCATGATTTTTCCCCAGACATGTGACGTCATGACGACGTCCTTTGAAGTCCCGACCCCTTCCCTGGGACCAGTTTTTCGTCCTGACTCGTTTTTCAACGGCCCCGAGGCCCGGCGAGGTTCCCCCGGGGCCGAAAATTGTCAAAAATTTGCCGTCCCGTTTTTTTCACGACGCGATCATGTCTGGGTCAGTTTCCGCGAAGACATCGGATAGCCGTCCAACATAGACCAGGATACCGCTTTTCAGAAGTCCAGCGTGTATCCTCTGGGACTCCTTGCGTATGTACCGTTTTTTTGAACTTCAGCGCGGTATCCTCTGGGATTCCTCGCGTACATGAGCGATCTCCACGGGATGCAAGAGCAGCCCGTGGGCGGCAGTTTTTTCCTTCCAAGGAAGGGCACGACGGCCTTCGAGCAAGGGATCGACTAGAGAACTGACTTGCCCCAACATTTATTCGATCGTCGAATCCACGAACAAATATACGAATCTGATCGTAGATCCGGCGAAGAAATTCATTCTGGGCTGGGTACATTCTGTAGTCGATCCCATGCTCGGCTCGTCCCTTCCACATGGGGAGAGGATAGAGCAAAGGGTGACGGCAGCCAGTGGGAGTGCCGAGGCCCGTCCACGCTTGCGCTGGGCCTGTCGAGGGCCGGCCCCGTGTTCCCGCCGCCCGCGACGGAGACCGCCAACTCGGGAAGCCCGACGTCTCTGAGGTCGTCCACGCGCTCAGGGCCGGCGACGCCGGCCTCAGATCCCCTGCATCTCGGACCACCGTCGCCCCTCCGCAGCTCCACCCGCCCTGGCCTTTCGGCGCTGCCACCTGGCATGGCGCGCACGGGCCCGCCGCTGCCCGCTGCCGACCGCGCGAGCGCGGGCCCCCCCGCGCCGCCCAGAAGCCCCGTGCACTCCGGGCCAGCGCCCTCTGCGCTGGGCCTGTCGAGGGCCGGCCCCGTGTTCCCGCCGCCCGCGACGGAGACCGCAAACTCGGGAAGCCCGACGTCTCTGAGGTCGTCCACTCGCCCAGGGCCGCCGACGCCGGCCTCAGATCCCCTGCATCTCGGACCACAGTCGCCCCTACGGAGCTCCATGCGCCCTGGCTTTTCGGCGCTGCCACTCGGCATGGCGCGCACGGGCCCGCCGCTGCCCGCTGCCGACCGCGCGAGCGCGGGCCCCCCCGCGCCGCCCAGAAGCCCCGTGCACTCCGGGCCAGCGCCCTCTGCGCTGGGCCTGTCGAGGGCCGGCCCCGTGTTCCCGCCGCCCGCGACGGAGACCGCAAACTCGGGAAGCCCGACGTCTCTGAGGTCGTCCACTCGCCCAGGGCCGCCGACGCCGGCCTCAGATCCCCTGCATCTCGGACCACCGTCGCCCCTCGGAGCTCCATGCGCCCTGGCTTTTCGGCGCTGCCACTCGGCATGGCGCGCACGGGCCCGCCGCTGCCCGCTGCCGACCGCGCGAGCGCGGGCCCCCCCGCGCCGCCCAGAAGCCCCGTGCACTCCGGGCCAGCGCCCTCTGCGCTGGGCCTGTCGAGGGCCGGCCCCGTGTTTCCGCCGCCCGCGACGGAGACCGCAAACTCGGGAAGTCCGACGTCTCTGAGGTCGTCCACGCGCTCAGGGCCGGCGACGCCGGCCTCAGATCCCCTGCATCTCGGACCACCGTCGCCCCTCCGCAGCTCCACGCGCCCTGGCCTTTCGGCGCTGCCACCTGGCATGGCGCGCACGGGCCCGCCACTGCCCGCTGCCGACCGCGCGAGCGCGGGCCCGCCCGCGCCGCCCAGAAGCCTCGTGCACTCCGGGCCAGCGCCCTCTGCGCTGGGCCTGTCGAGGGCCGGCCCCGTGTTCCCGCCGCCCGCGACGGAGACCGCCAACTCGGGAAGTCCGACGTCTCTGAGGTCGTCCACGCGCTCAGGGCTAGCGACGCCGGTCTCAGATCCCCTGCATCTCGGACCACCGTCGCCCCTCCGGAGCTCCACGCGCCCTGGCTTGTCGGCGCCCCCACTCGGCATGGCGCGAATGGGCCCGCCGCTGCCCGCTGCCGACCGCGCGAGCGCGGGCCCCCCCGCGCCGCTCCGGAGTTCCGTGCGTTCTGGTCTGGCGCCCTCTGCGTTGGGCATGGCGCGCGCTGGTCCGCCGCTGCCCGCTGCCGACCGCGCGAGCGCGGGCCCCCCCGCGCCGCCCAGAAGCCCCGTGCACTCCGGGCCAGCGCCCTCTGCGCTGGGCCTGTCGAGGGCCGGCCCCGTGTTCCCGCCGCCCGCGACGGAGACCGCCAATTCGGGAAGCCCGACGTCTCTGAGGTCGTCCACGCGCTCAGGGCCGGCGACGCCAGCCTCAGATCCCCTGCATCTCGGACCACCGTCGCCCCTCCGCAGCTCCACGCGCCCTGGCCTTCCGGCGCTGCCACCTGGCATGGCGCGCACGGGCCCGCCGCTGCCCGCTGCCGACCGCGCGAGCGCAGGCCCCCCCGCGCCGCTCCGGAGCTCCGTGCGTTCTGGTCCTGCGCCTTTGGCGCTGGGCATGGCGCGCACTGGCCCGCCGCTGCCCGCTGCCGACCGCGCGAGCGTGGGCCCCCCCGCGCCGCCCAGAAGCCCCGTGCACTCGGGGCCAGCGCCCTCTGCGCTGGGCCTGTCGAGGGCCGGCCCCGTGTTCCCGCCGCCCGCGACGGAGACCGCAAACTCGGGAAGTCCGACGTCCCTGAGGTCGTCCACGCGCTCAGGGCCAGCGACGCCGGCCTCAGATCCCCTGCGTCTCGGACCACCGTCGCCCCTCCGGAGCTCCACGCGCCCTGGCCTTTCGGCGCTGCCACCTGGCATGGCGCGCACGGGCCCGCCGCTGCCCGCTGCCGACCGCGCGAGCGCAGGCCCCCCCGCGCCGCTCCGGAGCTCCGTGCGTTCCGGTCCTGCGCCTTTGGCGCTGGGCATGGCGCGCACTGGCCCGCCGCTGCCCGCTGCCGACCGCGCGAGCGTGGGCCCCCCCGCGCCGCCCAGAAGCCCCGTGCACTCCGGGCCAGCGCCCTCTGCGCTGGGCCTGTCGAGGGCTGGCCCCGTGTTCCCGCCGCCCGCGACGGAGACCGCCAATTCGGGAAGCCCGACGTCCCTGAGGTCGTCCACGCGCTCAGGGCTAGCGACGCCGGCCTCAGATCCCCTGCATCTCGGACCGCCGTCGCCCCTCCGGAGCTCTACGCGCCCTGGCCTTTCGGCGCTTCCACTCGGCATGGCGCGCACAGGCCCGCCGTTGCCCGCTGCCGACCGTGCGAGCGCGGGCCCCCCCGCGTCGCTCCAGAGCTCTGTGCACTCCGGGCCAGCTCCCTTTGCGCTGGGCATGGCGCGCACTGGTCCGCCGCTGCCCGCTGCCGACCGCGCGAGCGTGGGCCCCCCCGCGCCGCCCAGAAGCCCCGTGCACTCCGGGCCAGCGCCCTCTGCGCTGGGCCTGTCGAGGGCCGGCCCCGTGTTCCCGCCGCCCGCGACGGAGACCGCCAATTCGGGAAGCCCGACGTCCCTGAGGTCGTCCACGCGCTCAGGGCCAGCGACGCCGGCCTCAGATCCCCTGCGTCTCGGACCACCGTCGCCCCTCCGCAGCTCCACGCGCCCTGGCCTTTCGGCGCTTCCACCTGGCATGGCGCGCACAGGCCCGCCGTTGCCCGCTGCCGACCGTGTGAGCGCGGGCCCCCCCGCGTCGCTCCAGAGCTCTGTGCACTCCGGGCCAGCTCCCTCTGCGCTGGGCATGGCGCGCACTGACCCGCCGCTGCCCGCTGCCGACAGCCCGAGCGCGGGCCCCCCCGCGCCGCCCAGAAGCCCCGTGCACTCCGGGCCAGCGCCCTCTGCGCTGGGCCTGTCGAGGGCCGGCCCCGTGTTCCCGCCGCCCGCGACGGAGACCGCCAATTCGGGAAGCCCGACGTCCCTGAGGTCGTCCACGCGCTCAGGGCCAGCGACGCCGGCCTCAGATCCCCTGCGTCTCGGACCACCGTCGCCCCTCCGCAGCTCCACGCGCCCTGGTCTTTCGGCGCTTCCACTCGGCATGGCGCGCACGGGCCCGCCAGTGCCCGCTGCCGACCGTGCGAGCGCGGGCCCCCCCGCGTCGCTCCAGAGCTCTGTGCACTCCGGGCCAGCTCCCTTTGCGCTGGGCATGGCGCGCACTGGTCCGCCGCTGCCCGCTGCCGACAGCCCGAGCGCGGGCCCCCCCGCGCCGCCCAGAAGCCCCGTGCACTCCGGGCCAGCGCCCTCTGCGCTGGGCCTGTCGAGGGCCGGCCCCGTGTTCCCGCCGCCCGCGACGGAGACCGCCAATTCGGGAAGCCCGACGTCCCTGAGGTCGTCCACGCGCTCAGGGCCAGCGACGCCGGCCTCAGATCCCCTGCGTCTCGGACCACCGTCGCCCCTCCGCAGCTCCACGCGCCCTGGTCTTTCGGCGCTTCCACTCGGCATGGCGCGCACGGGCCCGCCAGTGCCCGCTGCCGACCGCGCGAGCGCGGGCCCCCCCGCGCCGCCCAGAAACTCTGTGCACTCGGGGCCAGCGCCCTCTGCGCTGGGCCTGTCGAGGGCCGGCCCCGTGTTCCCGCCGCCCGCGACGGAGACCGCCAACTCGGGAAGCCCGACGTCCCTGAGGTCGTCCACACGCTCAGGGCCACTGACGCCGGCCTCAGATCCCCTGCATCTCGGACCACCGTCGCCCCTCCGGAGCTCCACGCGCCCTGGCCTTCCGGCGCTGCCACCTGGCATGGCGCGCACGGGCCCGCCAGTGCTCGTTGCCGACCGCGCGAGCGCAGGACCCCCCGCACCGCTCCGGAGCTCCGTACGTTCTGGTCCTGCGCCTTTGGCGCTGGGTATGGCGCGCATTGGCCTGCCGCTGCCCGCTGCCGACCGCGCGAGCGTGGGCCCCCCCGCGCCGCCCAGAAGCCCCGTGCACTCCGGGCCAGCGCCCTCTGCGCTGGGCTTGTCGAGGGCAGGCCCCGTGTTCCCGCCGCCCGCGACGGAGACTGCCAACTCGGGCAGCTCTTCACCATCAAGGAGTCTCTCTCGATTGGGGCCCGCTCTGTCGGCGTTCGACGCTGCACATGTGGGCGCCAGCTCGCCGCCACGCAGCCATTCCAGGACAGGCTTTCCACCGTCAGCCTCAGACTTCTTACATCCAGGATCCAGCTCGTCGCCGAGGTGGCGCCTCCTCTTTGCCCTCCGTTTCATTGGACGGTTGAGTGGCTCTCTGCGTTGGGGGGATGACCCTTGCTAAGAGGATGTGCGTATAATTTGAGCATACCGCCGGACAGCAAGCATACTGAGTCGTTAGGATTGGTTGTCACATCAGTCTGATCAATGCTATCTTGTTTCAGCAGTGGTCTGCACTTACATCAGCAGACGGGCGGATTCAGGAGCCAGCGGCATGTGTTGGTTGATGCGATGTCGTAGCCATCACATGTTGAGATGAGTTGGCGCCAAAGTGATTTTGATCGGGCCGCGGGAGGACTCAAGATGGTTGCCCCTGAAGAAAAGGTTTGGATGGTCAGTTGGTAAATTGTGAGCACGTGCATGCGTGGGGCCCCCAGTTCTCGAAGGGTGTCTCTCGAGCGTGTTTCAACCGTTTGAGGGACGGAAGAAAACGGAGTCGATTGCGCCGCGTAAGGTCACCCTCAGCGCCCGCGTCTTCAATGTACAGTGGGGGCGCGCATCAAGAAGCCATATGTTGTTCGTCAGGGTACCCTGGATTTCTTCGCTCCGCGCGCTGCGCGGTGAATTTCCGCGGCCGTTGAAGGTGCTGCGTTCAGGGTGCTCCAGGGTTCCCCTCAGGTGCACCTCGCGCGCTGGTTTTCAGGGTTGGGGATCTTGTGAGGGTGTCTTGCGGCCGCGCCCGCATTGAATCCTTCCGCGCTGGCGCCCGCGTAAGTTGCGGCGTAGGACCGCTATGCCATCTCGCGGAAAACCCTTTCTTGTTGTTGCTCACTTGGCTATCTCCCGTGTTGCGTCCAGCATTGCGCGTATCCTGGAGATGGCGTCTTTGCCTTTATTATCTGCAGCCCCTGGGTCTGATCCCCCGGCGGACATGCAATTTGCTTTGAGATGGGGGCAGAAGAGAAGATCCCCCCCCCGATTGCTCTGCGCAAGAGCGGTGGGGGAGGCGGGACATTCGGTAGTAACTCATAGAAGCCTTGCATGTCCTCGAAGTTCCGTCGTTCGAAGGCATTCGCGTGCAGTAGTGTTTGGTGATCTATTAGGACGGGGCCGATTTAGCGTCGATTTAGCGTCGATGAGCGTTGGTTCGTGTCCGCTAGCGCCGATTCGCAAGAGTCAGCAGGATGATACTGGAGGCTCTCGTCCTCTGCCGGCTCTTTTCTTCCTTCTGTTCAACGTCTTGTTCATCCGCACCTACTGACATGTACGCAGCTCACCTTTTGTTCCAACTGAACACACCACGATAGGGTTCCTTTGGGGGGTGCGAGTTCCAGGTCGGCTATGACTCGCGTCCGCGGATAGTGAAAGACAGCGTCCTGGGAAGGGATGGGTGGTATTAGGTCGGGCATGTCCCCCTACAGGCGGATTTTTGACGAACAATTCAAGATACCCCAAACAAATACCAAACATGCCCAAAAATAATCAAAACATCGTCCCCATAATATTTTTGGACTATTTTTGAAAATTCCTCCTGTAGATGGACAGGCCCGACCTAAGGGTGGGATGGGGGTGGATGTCAGACAAGGGCGCGGGCGCACCTGGCCTGGCCCCCCTCCTGATTCCCAGACGCCCGACGTTGTGCACTTGTCATAGACGGCGGCAGTTTTTGAGTGCCCGGGGTCGCAAAAATTACGGCAAGGTGACCGCCGCCATTTTTGCACAAGTCGAGGGGATTTTGGTCCCCAGGAGGAGGAGGAGGAGGAGGAGGAGGAGGAGGAGGAGGAGGAGGAGGAGTATTCGTGAGGAGGTGGAGGAGCAGGAGGAGCAGGAGGAGGAGGTCCCTGGGTCCGCTCCTCAGAGGAACAAAAAACTGTATAAGCATGAACTTTCGACGTTCTGCGTGGATTTCTTGGATTGGCGCTTGGGTCCCCTGGCCGCCTGCGCGCCAGGGAGGGGAGCTTAGTGTCAATCCGGGGGGCCTTTCCCACCTGGGGGGCCCCCGCGCCCTTTCCCACCTCGGGGGCTCCCGCCCGCACAGGTGCCCCACGCGGCCTGGGCCTTCCACGCCGCTGCCGGGCACGACGCGTGCCGGCTCCTCGACGCCGACGCCCGACCGCGCGAACTTCGGCCCGCCACCGTCTGCCCGGTCCCCCGTGAGGCCCGGTTCAGGCGGGCCGGCGTGGGCGGGGAGGGCGCGGGGCCAGGTGCAGAGGCTGAGATCCTGGCGTTTCGGCTTCTTCGGGCTAGGCGTTTTCGCCTGTCTTCGGACCCCGGGACACTCACATATCGGTCCAGCTTGAAAAATGACGCAGAGAGATGCGGTCTAGGGCTCCCGAGTGTTTTTTAACGATGTTGCAATGTTTGTCGCGGGGCCATCGGAACAGGAAACAGTAATTACCAATACCGCTACCCTTCCCTTGTTTTTCTTTTTGTTTGGGCTTCCTTGGAGGCCCTTGTCGCCACCGCTGGATTCGCCTCGAAATCCTGGTCAGAACGCACCCCTGGAGAGGTCTGGGGAGTATTGTCCGCGGACGACCCGTGTGCACCGTACCGCGTTGGCGCCTCTCGTGGCGTCGTCGATTCTCGACCAAGGAATGGTACAGTGCATCGTTTTCGGGCCCCCGGGGCAAAACAGATTACGCACTGTACGGCGTTGGAGCGGGGTCTGACGGAGTCCAGACGCGGTACGGTGTGTGGGCGCCGTTCGCGCATCAGCAGTATCGGTACCACTTGGTATCCCCAGGCCAGGCGCAGAGGAGAGGCGAGTCGAGGCAGCAGCACATGGCCCTCGGGAGGATGGCTTCTTCGCCACGGCTGAACGCATCTCGGAACACTGACGCGTCTGGGCCCCAGTCGCGAACGATTTTTCTCCCCCACTCCTTGAGTTCCGCCCGAAAAGTTTGGCCGCTCAGAAAAGGGAACGCCTGTGATACACTCCAAGGGGGCTATTCGGACGCACCCCTACCGAGAATGGACGCGCCCCCGTCGTATATCCAAGGGCTGGGCCCAGAAATTTTGGCCCGCTTCGAAAACCCCACGAAGCCTGGGATGTAGGTCACCCCCCTGCTGCCCGGGGGGGGGGAGGGGGTCTTGGGGGCCTCGTGGGGGCATCGTGGGGCCTCCTGGGCATCTACTGGGGCACCCTTGGGGCAACCTTGGGAGCCCCGGGGGCCATCTTGGGAGAGGTCGATCAACGAAGGGGAGCTTCTTCATTGGACCTCCCCCCCAGCAGGCCAAAATTTTGCCCAAACCAAAGTATCGGGGGTGGACAGACCTCCTACCCTGACACGTCGATTAGTGAATGTCCGTTTTCGGTTCTCGAGAGGGCGCCGCAGTCGTCATTTTCCAGGCTTGCGCCCGCCAGGTTTGGGCCCGAGGTCGTTTTCACTAAACCACGTTTTACTAAAGGAGGTTCTGCCCATCCCCGATTTAGCACGTTCTGTGCGTTCTGTCGTTCCTGGTCTTCTCTCCTCCTCCTCCTCCCTCCGGCTGCTGCGCTGCTGCGGGCCGCTGCCGTCCGGGGCCCTTGGGCCGCGCCGTGCGGGGCAAGGGGGCCGCTCCCTTCGGCTGGCCCTGCCGGGGTCACCACCGCCGAGCTCCCGCGCCAGATGGCTTTCGCATGATACATCCTCAGGCGTGAGGCATCGCGATCCTCCGACCCCACCTGCTCCGACCCCACCTCGGAGACCCACACCTCAGATCTCCCAGCACTCCAAGGGGGGGCCGGCAGGAGTGGCTGCCAAGCCTCGACACTCCACGGGAGCGCATGTCGGCGATGGCGCTAACATTCGGGTATCCTGGGAGGCCGACCAAGACAACAGCGGGCAAAATAAGCATTTGCAGTGGAATGCTCTTATCTGTGGCACGTGTTTGCGCTAGCCCATGACATCTCGTCGGGACTGGATCTTGGCTGCATCTGGTATGCATCTGGGACGCATTTGTCGCATCGTCAAGTGTTTTATATATGATTTTCTCTACGCGTCCTGTGGATAATTTGCCCGCCGACTGACTGAATGGGTGGCCAGAAGGTCACTGCCAGCACCAAAATCCAGGATCGCGCTCTCCAGGTGGAGGCATACGCCCTGTGCTGGTGTTGTGTACGTCCAAGCCTCCAAGGATTAGAAGTGTCGAGTGGATGCGCATCCGGCCATGCACCCTAGTCATCACGACGCCATGCTTCACGAAGGTTCAATGTCCCAAGTAAACCCGGTGCGGTCCCCGCGACGGGAAAGTTCCCTAATGCGTGGGCGCGTTGGTTGGCATTGCTTGGCGCTGCTTGGCGCTAGAGAGTTTCTTAGCATTGCTTGGCGCTGCAAGGCATTCTTATTCATTGCTTTCAATGCCAGGCACCCCGAGGAGAAACATTGAACACTTCGAGGAACCCGAGCAAGGAACAAGACCAGTGTACCCGAGGAGCAAGACTGGGGAAACCAGGTGGACCCCCCTCCGCCCACCATCCGCCCTTCCGGCGTCCTTGCCTCCCTGCCTCCCCCCATCGCTGGATCACCCTAGCTTCGGGGCATCGCTGGGGGAAGGGAAGGGTCGCGAGCGCCGCGCGTCCACCTCCCCAGACGCCAGGATCTCCTCGCCCTTCCCCCGCCTTTCGCGACTCCGCGGTAAATCCCATAGCTTTTGGGAACCACCCCCCAATAGCGGGAATACACCCCTTTCACACGCGTCGTGTCCCCATAGGTAATTCCACCGAAAGCCTCAGTGGCAGGGTTTACATGCGACCCCCCGCCCATCGTATATCCATGTCGGCACACCCTTCGAATGTTTCGTTGCCGCATGGGGAACTCCACCGACGGCCCCATTGGCAGGGGTCGCACGCGGCTCCCCGCCCACCGCATGTCCATGTCGGCACACCCCTCACACGCTTCGTGGCCGCAAAGGGAGCCCCACCGAAGGCCCCAGCGGAAGGATTCGCATGGCGGCCCCACGCATTGTCGCGCTCCACTTACACGTCCCGTGGCCCCATAATGAGCTCCACCGAAGGCCCTAGTGGTAGGGTTCACATGCGGTCCCCCGCCCTTCGCGCGTCCATTTTGGCACACCCCTCAAACGCTTCGTGGTCCCACGGGGAGCTCCACCGAAGGCCCCATTGGCAGGGTTCGCATTCGGTTCCATTCTCACCGCATGTCCATTTTGGCACACTCCTCACACGCTTCGTGGCTTCCGTGGCTTCATTGGGGAGCTCATCCGAAGGCCCCATTGGCAGGGTTCGCATGGTGGTGTCGTGGCTCGATGGGATGTTTCACCAAAAGCCCCAGGACACGGTTCACACGCGTCTCCCCGCCCACCGCATGTCCATTTCGGCATAAGCCTCGAACGTTTCGTGGTCCCAGGAGGCGCTTCACCGAAAGCATCCATTGGCAGGGCTCGCATGCGGCTCCCCGCCCATCGCATGTTCGTTCCGGCACACTCCTCAAACTCTCTCCACAGAGGGCGCGCTTTCGATACGCTTCGTTTGCCAGGGCCTGTCCTGGACAGTCGGATGGTGCATGGGCCGCCTGGCCTCGACCATGAGGGCACACATATCATGCTCGAGGAACAAAAGTTGGCATACAGACAACTGTTAGGAGCTCCGCGCAGATCTCCTGCATCGGCGCTGGGCCCCCCCTGGTGGCGCCTCCAGCGCCGCTCCTGGCGAGCTCCGCGCACCAGGGAAAGGAGGTCCAGCGCAGATCCAAGAAGTTCGCGCGGACCGTCGGAAATTTCTGTCTGTGTCGCTTTGCCCCTCTCGGTACTCCGAGGGCCAGGATGGCATGATGGTGTGCAGGTACCGTTTGCCCTGAGCCAGCCGTGCGAGGGACTTCGCCTCGTCCTCGGCTTGCCCTCGCCCCTCCTCCACCTCCCTCTCTGGCGGAGCGGCCCCCCGCGGAGGCATTCAATTCACGTCCTCCAACACGTGCCCCGCCCAGCGGTGGGCGTGTCCCAACGGCGGCCAGGTAGAGAGGATCAGGGGCAACGATAGGGCGGGCATGGGCATGGGGGGGAGACATCGACTCATAATCACCCCATCATCGCTGGGCCCGATAGCCCCAACCTGCTCAGGAACCTGCGGTCTCACCGTCGGGCGCCTATCGTTGATCTGTCGGCGATTTGCCGCCGATTCAAGGTCGATGTGCCCCCACTATGCCAGTCCCCCCTTTTATCGTTTCCCCTCACAGATTGGGAAAAGGGGGGATCGGTATGCTATATTTATAGAGATGTGTAATACAAACATATATATATATATATATAGATGCATCCTTTTTCAGAGGGGAGGGCCCTGGGCCCGTTGAAAAATTACCCAGGCGAAGGACCAACCATATGCAGTTGTGGGTACCGCAACTGTGAATATCTTCTTCGGCAGGCGGTATCACTAGGGCCGTCGGTGGAGCACCCTATGGGGCCACGAATCGGCCACGAAACGCTGTATTGGGTGAGTGAAAATGCCAAATTGGGTTTGTGGGGCGCATGCGGGCGGTCCCACTGGGGGCTTCGGTGTAATTGGGTTTTCGGGACGCATGAGGACGGTAGCACTGGGACCTTCGGTGAAGCTCCCTATGGGGCCACGAAACGCTGTACTGGGTGGGTGGAAATGCAACATTGCGTGTGCGGGACGCATGCGGGCGGTAGCATTGGGACCTTCGGTGGGGCTCCGTATGGGGCCACGAAGCGCTGTACTGGGTTTTCGGGACGCATGCGGGCGGTAGGCTCCCTATGGGGCCACGAAGCGCTGTACTGGGTGGGTGAAACGCAGGGAGGAGGGAGGAGGGGGCCACGAAACGCTGTGCTGGGTGTGCGGGACGCATGCGGACGGTAGCACTGGGACCTTCGGTGGAGCTCCCTATGGGGCCACGAAACGCAGTACTGGGTGGGTGACACGCAGGGAGGAGGGAGGAGGGGGAGGAGGGGGGGAGGAGGAGAAGAGGAGAGGAGAGGAGAGGAACGCGGTGACCGTCTCTTCAAAACGAAGACCCAACACCACTGGATGGTTGGGAATAATCAGGGCAAAAAGCAAGTTCTGCGGAAAGGCCTTCGGTCCAGGGCCCGTGCCCGTCGAAGAAAGTGGGCATCCGACGCTGCATGGAAGTGCGAGTGGTACATTGCATTGACGATGCAGCATTTGGTGCGCTTCCTGACCAGGACTGACAATCAGTGATAAGTTGTCCCCATCACCGTCCATCGTGATGCGCCCTGTTTCGTCTCTCTGCTCCAACAAGTGTCCCTGCCACAGCGCTCGGAACAATACTGTCTGAACGTTAGATATCACCAGGGTAGGAGTAACGCCGCACCAGGTGTGCGCCCCCGTCCCCGCCAGGTACATAACGGATACAGGCTCCGGTTTGGAGCTGTACGTCAGCGGCAGCAGGGTGCCGTGCTCGTCTCTTTCGAAGTGTTGAGGTTGATGAGAGACTGTGTTGCCTACTTCCTCTTTTGCAAGAGAGGTTGCAGCATGTGGTATGTTGAGGGCAGCTCACATGTGCGCGTGTGCATACAGACACAAGAAAACTTGCAACAGCAAGCGGACGTTTACACTATTTAGCCCGTGCACGAGAAACGCCTATGTCCCAGCATGGGAGTGCATACAGTAATGAGCGTCTCTGTTGCATGTTTTGCCTGGTTTCTGCTCTCCCGCATCCTCTCGCAGGCAGCGACGTTCGACAGCACTGGGGGCACCCTGCACGGAACGTGGGACTCAGACAACGCCCTCAGTATGTCCGACCGCAGGTTGAAGCAGGACCATGTGGGGAGGGGCCAGTCCCGAATCTCAGGGTGTTTGTTCCTATATTGAATGTATAATTCGCAGTTCTCACCAGCGTATGTTTTGTGTTTGAGTGTTCCTGGCCCGAAGGGTTTTGCACTTGTTCCCTCCAAGCGTATTGACTCCGTAAGCTTTACGCGAGCCTTTCGCGGCCGAATTGGCCTCTCATGACATCGTCTCACTGCCGTTGGCGAGGACGAAGTTCGGTCGCCCGTATTTGGGCGAGCTCCTTGTGATCCGCGCAATCGCGAGGCGGGTCGCCAGGTGGCGCGGCCAGGCGCCTTTGAAGCTCGTTGTGTGCAAGTTCTTGCGCAACCTGGCGATGACGGGTGAGAGAAGTTGGGCAACGACGTGCTGAAGATGACGGGGTGACGACAGACAGAGTGCGAGGAGAGAATGGAGAGAGGAGGAAGAAGGACGGAGAGGGGGGAGGATGGTATGAGAGTGTACGGCTGGGCCAAACGCAGCCTGAACGCAGGATAGCCAGGCGCGCACGGGCGCAGGAGCCTGGCGTGCTGGCCCGTGGTCGGGAGTGGGCACCGCTTGTGTCGAGGCGGGCGGGCCTCGTGGGGATCTGGCCCGATGCCGCGGGCACCCGGGGGCTCCCTCGTGTGGTTTAGACGGGCGATGCCGATCTCTCAGGCCCGCCCGGCTTCGCCCGCGAGGTCGTCGCATGACGCTGTCACTCGCATTTCGGCGTCTCGTTTGCAGCGCCGCGGTCGCTGAAACCCCTCTCGCCGCCGTCCCTTCAAGGGAAACACAAAACTTCTGGAGGTAGCGGAGCCACCCTGCGTTTCTCCGCGTCTTTTTCTTTCCCGCCCTCTCCCCCTCGCTCGCCTCCTCCTCCTCCTCCTTCTTCATAGTAGCAGCCCCAGCCTGCCCAGGTCAGGAGGACTTGGGGCAGTCCAGCCTCCACATCCTCGCAGACCTTCCGGAGGTCGTCCTTATGGTCGCGTGAATAGGTGGGACCAGACAGGGTGGACTGCAAGGGTCAGCCCTCTAGCCACCGGGGACTCCAAGGCTTTCCGTGGGCCTTTCGTAGGAAGCATAGTGTCGCTACTCGACGATCGTGCCCGAAAAGGGAAGCATGTCGGCCGTGTCAGGGCGCGTCAGTCGGTCCTCTTCCTCCTCCATAGAGGACGTCAGGGGTAGGGGGCATGGGAAGATGGGTAGAGGAGGGGGAAAGGGTGGAGAGGCTTAGGGAGTACAGGAGGTCAGGAACAAAACCATAACGAAAAACAGCCCAATGCCAGGGGATGCGGACCACGGGGGTACGCCCCATTATGTTCTGCGTTCTTGGGCGAGCCCTCGTTGTTCCTGGATCCCCCCGCCCCAGCATTTCAGGTCAGTCCCACAGCTTCCCGACAGTGGACGGAAAGGGGGTGAAGAAAAGGAAACGGGGGGGAAGGAACAAACAAGGAAATGATTGGGGAAAGGTGGAGGAGGAGGAGAGAAAGAAGGAGGAGGGCGACCTGAACTAGAAGGCCTCTTCAAGCTTTTTCGGGGCATCGTGGGCCTCTATGGGCCTTTTGACGGCCATTGATGGGCCTTCTGGGAGCCTGATAAAGCGTTTCTTGTGGGCCTACGGTGGGGCCTCTGAGGGCTTCTGTCCTCTTGGCCCTTAGAGACCGTCATGGGGGCCTCTCTGGGCCGTCGTGGAGACTTCTTTGGCTGCTTTAGGGCCGTCTTGGAGGTATGTGGGGCCGTTTGCGGGGCCCTTTCGGGGCCGCCTCAGGCCGCCTTGGGGTGAACCTCTTGGCCTGCCTTGGAGTCCTCGTGGGGGCTTCTCCGCTTGCCTTTGGGGCCTCTGGGGACGTCTTCGGCCGTCGGAAGCCCAAGGAGGCGAGAACGCCAAAGCCATTCAAATGCATTTGAAAGCTGATTTTGGCTGGCCCTTCGCAATTCTCTCTGAGGCCTCTGGGCCTCTTGGGGCCTCTTAGGCCATCTGGACTGCATATTTGGTTGTCTTGGGGTCATCCCCGGCCGTTTTGTCGTCTTGGAGGCCATCTTGTCCGTCTGTGAGGCCCTCTTGGGACCATTTTGCACGTCTTTCAGGGTAGGCGGTGGATTGAGCCGAGACCCCAGTGCAAGCAACACGGATCAGCGGATCGAATGGTTTTCGGCCCATCGCGCCACCGTGTTTGGGTTGTGGGTCAGAGACCTTTTGGATGAATATTCGGGTTTTTTGGATGCTTCCTTCAGGAACTCTTGAAGGGCTATTGGAGTCCTTTGCGGGCTCCTTGGGCGCCTCTTGGGGTATCTTGGGGGCTTCCTGGAGGCCTCTTTCAGCCTTTGGTTGGCTCCTGGGGCCCCTTTGGCCGTCTCGGACGCCCATCATACCACGAAGATATGCTAATTTCATACGCAAGACGTCAGGATTTGAACATGTTGACCTCTCGAGACCCTCGTTGGGGTCCACTTGGGGTCCGCTTGAGCCGTGTTGGGCCGTCCTCAAGCCATCTCGGGTCGTCCTGTAGGACTCTTGTAGGACAGCTTTGTTGGCCTCTTGGCGCCTGTTCGGCCCGTCGTGAAGCCCCCTGCTTTTAGGAACAGCCACGCGATAAGCCCCAAGAGGCACGCGGAGACAAGCGACACCCGCAGGAAATCTGAGACTTTTGTGGGCTGGGTCTTTACATGCTCACTCATCCAGGACAGTGAGCTCACAGGACCTGAGGACACTCCATTTCGTGTCTCGCAGCACGGTGGCGGACATGTATAAAATGCCAGCCCTAGGCCATATTGGGCCTTCCAGACCCTTCTGACCGAGGCCAGGTGCAGGAGGGTTCAGGATTGCCCATGTCAGGCATGGTGGTAGTGTATAGGTGCCCTGTGCATGTCCTGGGTGCCCATCGTCGGGCTACAGTTACTGGAAGTTTGAGGAGGTCACTGGCCCCGGCAAATCCTTGGTACTAATCTGGCCTGGTCTGGCTTAATCCTGATTTTCTTAATCTGGCTGTGCAGTTCCAATCGTGCCCACCGATATTTCGCAGGAGTCGCCACCCAATCATTTAGAATCGCTGCCAATCCATCCCTCGCCTTCCCCATCACTCTCGGAAATGCTCGCAGAGCGCCATTGGCCCCTTTCAGAGAAGCAACAGGTCACTACGGTGATTGGGGGGCCACATGCGACTTCTGAAGGGGGAGGGTGGGGTTCACTTCGTTCGGGAGCTTCCGAGCCAAGCGAACCCCACCCTCTCCCTCAGAAGTCGTGGGGGGTAGGGGTAGGGCTCGCATGTGGCCCCCTAGTGATGCGCTCCAAGATCACCATCAGCTCCAGGGTTGCCCAGTGCGCCACCATACAGGCGGATTTTGGAGGAAGATTTTAAACATAATCGAGCAAAGCACCCAAAATGTTCAAACATGGTAAAAAATATAGTTCCAAAACTATTTTTCAGCAATTGTTGAATCCTCCCCCCTTGTGGAGGGACATGCCCGAGATTGCCCCGTGCGCCAGACAGGCCGCAGGAAGCAAGAGCCGACGATGAGCTGCTCCAGAATGCCTGGAGCGTGCGCCCCCCCGCTGTGGTTCGCAGCCAGCTTGCACCGTTACGACGGGTAGCTCCTCCTCCTCAATCCTCCTCCTCCTCCTCCTCCTCCTCCTCCTCCTCCTCCTCAATCCTCCTCCTCCTCCTCCTCCTCCTCCTCCTAGCGCTGCCGTTTTTCTCATATGCTGTGCGCCCCTTCCAAGGTCACACACTCACATGTTCGGCACCTTACTCTCAATTCCAGGTGGCCGCAGGCTATTGGCATGATGACCTACACGCTTGCTGTTCTCTCTTTTCACTGTCTCCATGGATCAAGGTCTTGGATGAACGACATCGCAGCCGAAGCGTCCAACTTCGGCATAATCGGACTACAGGGCAGAGGCACCAAAGCATTCATGAACGAGAGCTACAGCATGGCCAAGATCTTAGACAAAGTGGTTGTAAATGCGGGCTGGAAACACACGAAGTTTTCGAACAAGAGTGTTGGGTGCTCCTTTATGCTTCCACCGAGATGGCCGCAAACATGTATTCGACAGAGACACCGCCTGATCAACTTCAAGGGCGCGGCCTGGGAGTTTATTGTAGTGGCCTTCGGCCAGTGCCGCCGATCCGGGTCGATCGGGGTTATTCTCCAGACGCAGCCATTATGGGCGCACACTCAAACGCACACACGCAGTCACACCACCCAACCCGCGCCGCAGACGTGGGGGCCTGTCAGGGCGTCCTGGGGGGCTTCTCGGAGACTTTTGGGGGCCCTTTTGGGAGCTCTTAGGCGTCTGGGGGCGTTTTTGGGGGCATCTTAGGGGCCTGTCAGGGCGTCCTGGGGCGCTTCTTGGAGGCTTTTGGGGGCCCTCTTGGGAGCTCTTGGGGCCTCCGCTTTTTCCGCTTTTCGTTCCTCTTTGGGGTCTTCTTGGGGACGCTTGGGGGGGCTCTTGGGCCGTCACCCCGCATCCACCGGAAACTCGCCCCCCCCCCCCCATCCCCCCTTCCCTGGCAGAGCCACCCCGGCACCCCCCCCAGAGGCTGAGGCTCAGCCTCGAGGCTGTAGCTGAGACCTCTTGAAACTCACACGCCGGATCGGCGGACTTTAGATTCCAGGGGAACTCGTTCTACGCGATGACATTGTATTATCCACTCTACGCGATGACATTGTATTATCCACCGAAGCCGTCAGGCAGAAGCTACCTTCCGAATTGCCTCCCGTGTTGTGAAACATTGGCTCGATGGGCATCACAGGCGATCAGCAAGGCTCCACATTCTGCACTGGTCGTCATCATGACTGGTGTGAATGATGGGATGGGACTCTCTAAGCAAGAAGGGCAGTGGATGAATGGCGGGGAGCTGGCGATCGGGAAAGGAGTTGCCCAAGACAGACATCGATGGGGAGTTGGCCACAGACTTCGTGCACTCATGGAAGAACATGGTCTATTCCCCAGCACTGCCAGGGACCGAGTTACATATGCGTTCTTCGACCCGCACGGCAACTCCAGC